TTCTGGGGATAACTTTCCTGGCACGGGTTGGGAAAGTGCTTTGCGATGTTTACTATATGCCTACATGTTGAGAGATGAAGTCATGCCGCCATGCTAGGTGTCAGGTTCATGTGGTTCTGCTGCAGCTCACGCAGAAGAAAAGCTGTGTAGCATGTTCGTAGCAGTAATGCAACCACGTGTACCGCATGATCTGTTTATTACTGTGCAGAACAGAGGAATGTAATGCCAAATTCAACTTTCCTGTTTCCGCGATGCGGCACTGCATCGCGGAAACTGGAAAGTTGAATTTGGCATAGGATTTGTCGGTGGAGCTATGGCTGAGGGGTACTACTGAAGATTCTAAACGCGATCTTTGGATGTCAACGAGAGAATTTTATGTTAAACATCCTTTTTACATGCGAACATATCGCCTTTTCTTGCCGCCGTGGGCACCGTGGTAAGCTGTGCTTGCTGTATCTTATGGGCCTGAAATGGACGTACGAGAACTACAGAAACAGTTTCGGTTCGTTTGCAGTTGATTTCTGCGTTTCTCATGATTGTATGCACATTTGGAGTGCAGATCGAAGATTGCCTAACCGTCAATCGTCAGTTCCCGCATATTTTAATGCAGCTTCCAGGCAATGGAGATCCAGGAATCATAGGCGTATATAGGCGCACGGTAAGAAGTGCCTGTAACAGCAACAGTATTCAACTGTTTATCCTACACGGTGTGTCTATTGAATATGCAGTGAGTGCGTGAGCCATTTCCGCTCTTTGTACCATTTTTCGTGGGGGCAAGAAAAATATGTTTACTGTTGGAATTCTGTTTACCCAAGTCTAACAAACCCAGGGCTCATCAACTCGGTACAGAAGGCCTGGGCACAATCACCAAATACTTCCGAAATTGTGGANCAAACCCAGGGCTCATCAACTCGGTACAGAAGGCCTGGGCACAATCACCAAATACTTCCGAAATTGTGGAGTACCCTAACTTGCCACCACGTTTTTATCCTCAACACCGTCGAATTAACAATCAAACCTTAGGGTTTCGTCCTTAGGATTAGGATGTAGGCTTAGGGTTTAGGGTGTAGGCTTTAGAGCCTAGGGTTAGGGTTCAGGCTCTAGAGTTGAGGGTGTATTGTTTAGTATTTTTATTTATTATTATTTTGTTATTTGGTTATTTTAGTCACCTGCACTGATGTAGTGTTGAGGGTATATCGTTTGCCGCTAGTGGCAGAGAACATAGAAGACAGCCACAAATTCGCGTTTATGGTTTAGGGTTTAGGCTGTAGGGTGTATCGTTTACTGCCATCTACAGTTGCTTCCTAGGTATTTGTTTGATTTGCCTGGAAACGGAAGAATTCGTCAATACCAGTTGCGTACAGTGTGCAGCCTAAACCTTACCCCCTTTGCGCTAAACCCTAAACCCGAGACCCTACTTTTTCCGATACTAATCTCGCTATTTTGTGGCTCTCGTTACTAACCAACCCCCCAAAACCTAAGCCCTAAGCCCTAAAGCCTAAACAATGAGGCGCTTCTCTCGGTTTAGCCAGGCGGAGCCCCAAGCCCTCAGCGCTTCTCTCTAGGGTTTAGGGTCTAGGGGGAGGTGGTCAAGAGACCGAAAAGGAAGGGTTGCACTGGGGTGTCTGTACACCTCCCGCAATCCCCTATGAAGCCAAAAGTCCCTTGCAACTCTGCGTACAAACAAACAGCAAACCCTCAAAAGGGAATCGCTATGGTTAAGGGCTTAGGGTTTAGGGTTTGGGGGGGTTAGCAGCCCTTGCTGCTGTCCGGTGTGTTGTGTGGGATGCATTATTTATGCTGGGTATGATACCCAGTTGTTAAGCTCTATGGTTTAGGGTTTAGTGTTTAGGGTTTAGCGTTTAGGGTTTAGCGAACTCAAAGAGGATGCGGTGTCTCCTGACTGTCTCTTCAATGCGCCATGAATAGCCTCCGCCCACAACGCAGCAGACTGCCGCAGCAGGATACGGATTTGCTTCATCCTGCTGCTGCTGCTTCTTCTGCTGCTGGTGCTGCTGCTGGTGCTGCTGTTGGTGGTGCAGTTGCTGCATGCGTTTGTTGTGGTTTAATATAGAAGAGAAGAACAGGGTTTCTCTTCTCCTTAAACCCTCATCACTTAGACACAGCAAACCCANTTTAATATAGAAGAGAAGAACAGGGTTTCTCTTCTCCTTAAACCCTCATCACTTAGACACAGCAAACCCAACCGGTCGTCTTTATGACAATCGACGCCAGCAACATAGAGCACCAAATCCGGCTTAAAAACACGCAAACAATCCTTCAACACCTGCAGCATCACCAGCAGCAGCAGCAGCAGCAGCAGCAGCAACAGCAGCAGCAGCAGGAGCGGAGATATACCGGTCGTTGCGGGGAGTCACAAAATAATACCAGAGGGACGTTAATGCTGCAGCTGCAGTAGCAACAGATGCAGCAACAGCAGCAGATGCAGCAGCAGCAGCAGGAGATGCAGCAGCGGCAGCTGATGCAGCAGCAGCAACTCTAACAGCATGCTGCTGCATGCAGCAGCAGTAGCAGCAGAAGCAGCAGCAACAGGGTGCGTACAGGCGCGAGAGCCTGTAGATACTCTTCATCGCCGCAGCCATCGGGGAGCGAAATATCAACAGACGACCTAAAGAGAAGCATAGAAGGGTTTAGGGTTTAGGGTTTAGTAGCAAA